CATGCCGACGTCCTTGCTCTTGCGCACGAACACGTTCAGCCACACGGCCACCGCCAGCGCGTCCGACAGCGTGTACGACTCCTCGGCGCCCTTGCTGCCCTCGGCGCGGATCGGGTCCCAGACGTTCCACTCGTCGAAGCAGATGGTGGGCCGGGGCTGGGACGGCGGCACGTTGTTCTCGATCATGGCGAGGTCGATCAACGAGGAGGTGATCTCGATGGCCCGCTCGCCTGCCAGCGGCGCGGTGACATTGGGGAGGTGGGAGTCCGAGGTCGTGTACAGATGGATACTGTGCATATCGATCAAGGGCACGGCGCTGGTGGAGAGCTCAGAGTGAGCGGGGAGAAGGCAGTGCTTCAAGGTGTAGTGATCCCACGAGGCAAACCCGGTTTGACCACAGAGAATTAGGACAAGGCTGGGGTCGAGGAGCTTGAGAGCTTCAAGTTCGTCCATTATCAGTATCTTCGAATCATCTTGTAGTCATGTTTGAGATGCAAGGAGCTAGCTACCTTTGGCCCATTGGTAGGCTTTGTGGGCGTATGCTTCCTGAGTCATCTGCTCAACCTGCCATGGTCCCCAGACTTCGTTCCCGAGGGCCCAGTATTTCACCTGGATTGATTAGAATGACATATAAAGAATTATAGGCATGGAATATTTGACTTACATTGTATGGTTCCTCACGACCATTCTTCCGGCGAAGGTTGGCATAGTAAGTGTCCCGGGTGCCGTTGCAGTATTCGACCCAAGCAAGTGCTGCATGAATGTGTCAGATTTGAGGCCCTAACCAGAAGGCTAAAAGTTATGGGGGTAGATATACCTTCATCAAGAGTACCTACAGTACGATTAGTAAGGCTTTTCGACAATGAGAGAAGTCAGACACTTACCAGTTCCAAAGTTCAGACAGAGGTAGGGCTCGGTTCCGAGTACTTCACACCACTTCATGAACTCGTCCGTTCCGAATTGGTTGGTCTCTGTTCCCAGCCAGGCCAGTTCGGGTCTAAGCAGGGCAGGCTCGCAGTCAGTACAAAAGGGACGTGCCAGTTGAAGCAATCCAAAGCAGAGACAAGAGTGAAAGCCAAATGAATGAAACGTGATTGAAAGACAGTAGGCACGATAGGAAGGCCAAAAAGTGAAGCATTCAAGGCAGCGACAACACACCTGGACGGCCGGTTCTCTCTGGGGCCAACACCATCGATCCAGTGGTAGGTTGCCATAAAGTTGCCACCGGGGTAGCGGACGACAGGGATGTTTAGGTCCTTCAGGGCCTCGATCACATCTGTTCTGAAACCATTCTCGTCCGACAGCTTGTTCCCCGGGTCGTAGATGCCCCCGTAGATGCATCGACCCATATGCCTTTTCGGAGGTGTTAGCCGCACTATTTCACTGGGGCTGTAACCAATCCGGGAGCTTACTCTGTGAAGCCCGCATAGATGTTGGGGTTGATCTTGGAAATGCGCCTTGTTGGATGGATGGAAATACTAGGCGCATCCTGGTCGTTAAGCTTCGTGAAGGTGGTCATGGCGGCAAAGGGAAAATAGCAGGAAAGAGAAGGTTGAGAATCGCGAGATCCGATTGGTATGAAAACAAGAGAAAATGTACCCAAGGGACTATAAGCAGGACTCTTCCTTTGCCCGAAACACACTCACTCAATGTATTGTTGTTGACCATGGCAGAGAGAGCCCGGCAACTAATATTAATGTGCTGAAGCAATGGGGAGCGGGCAGGATGAATCGGGCAAATCCCCTGCGGGGTTGATCCGGAGTTGTACCGAACTCAGCAGAGGGCAGGCCAGCAAGGATGCATGATGGGAATGCAAGCGAGAGGTTTCGACGCCGTTGGCTTGGAGGATGAAGCCGAGGCAACGCCACGGCTAAATTCCGTCAATCAGCATGCGCCTCTGGAGTGGAAGTTGATGTACTGCCATCCCGCTTTCTACAAGCGTTGCTTGGCTACACCAGACCACACATGGCGATAGGTCGTGCATGGCATGTTAATTCGATTGTCTCCGCAGGTGCTATGAGTCTTGCGTCTCGAGCAGGCTGGACTTGGGCCAGCAAGTAGAAAAAAAAATGCCCTGTCTCGGTAGAATCCCCAAAGCGTCGTGTCTGCCGACTGATGCATCATAATGAATCCTCCACCGGTCTTTGCGTGAACTGGGAAAAGTCACGATGTCATGAGCATGTTCCGATGGAGGAGGCGAGTTCGGAAAACCCTAATGCCCCAGATTCTGGGCCTACACGTGGGTTGCGTGGCTGTCATCCCCAGATGTTCATAAAAGCCCACAGGACCCTGAACCTGGGGGTGGAATCTCCGCATTTTTTGTCTGTGATCTTCCTTAGCGAATGATCAAATCCACTGGATCCACTGTGTTCATTGCGGATTCCCACCCTTCAACATGCGTCTCTCTCCGGCATGGTACCAGGTAAGTCCTGAGGAAGATCCAACGTATGGCTAAGCGCCGGGTTTTTAACGTCCTTGCTCTCACCAGTTCCTGGTTGGTGTCTTCGCCTCTCTCGGCTCGTTCCTTTATGGATGTATGTATAGACGACATCCCTGTACCATTCAGTCGCTTGATCGGAACTGATGTGCATGGTTATAGACGATCTGGGTGTGATTGCCGAGGTCATCGCCAGTGGATCTTTCATCGCCAAGTTTGAAGCCGATAGCACTCAACAGTGAGTTCTACCACGGCCAGAATTAGGCGTATGCCACTGACAGTCTTCCAGAGGTCTCGTTGTTTCCATGTTCACTGCGGGTGCTTTCTGCGGTGCAGCATTTGCAGGTCCTACTGGTGATAAGCTGGGTCGACGATGGACCATCACGATCGGTTGTATCATCTTCTGCCTTGGCGGAGGTCTTCAGACAGGAGCTCAGACTATCGCGTACTTGTACAGCGGAAGATTCTTTGCTGGTCTCGGGTATGTTAACACCGCAAGGATCCAAGTAAAGTCTGGAGCGATTGTAGAGCATTTACTGATTTTGTCCTGGTCTGCAGAGTCGGTTTCCTTACCATGATTATCCCCTTGTACCAAGCGGAGATCTGTCATCCCAACATCCGTGGGCGAGTCACAGCCCTTCAACAATTCATGCTCGGTGTTGGCTCCCTCTGTGCTGCTTGGATTTCGTATGGCACATACATCGGCTTCTCTGACACCAACGATGCTCAATGGCAATTGCCCCTGGGTCTGCAGATCGCACCGGCAGTGTGTCTGGGCCTTCTCATCATGTTCTTCCCTGAGGTAAGAACCTTCCACCTCTGGTCGACTGTTAGTAATCAAGCACAACTCACTAACAAAACTCCAGTCTCCTCGTTGGCTCATTGACCATGGTAAAAATGAGCTGGGTCTGAAAACCCTGGCCCAACTCCACGCTCATGGTAACGAAGATGACGCGTGGGTGCGTGCGGAATACCAGCAGATTCAGGAAAGCATCAAGTTCGAACATGAGAACGAAGCCAAGTCCTACGCGGAACTCTTCACGTCCCGCTCTTCCTTCCGTCGTCTTTTCCTCTGCTGTGCTATCCAGGCGTCTGTCCAGATGACCGGTGTATCTGCGATCCAGTGAGTCCATCCAGCACTGCGCAATCGGGGACGCAGAGTGTAGAACTAACCAGTCGCAATTTGGCAGGTACTACTCCGTGACTATCTATGAGCAGATTGGCATTTCGGGCGACGAGACGCTGCGCTATCAGGCCATCAACTCGATCATCGCCCTGATCGCCCAGTTCCTTTGCATTCTGTACATCGATCGGTTCGGTCGTCGTTGGACTCTGATCGGTGGCAACCTGGGCAACTGCGTCACCTTCATCGTCGCGTGTGCGCTGCTGGCCAAATTCCCGCCGGAGGTCAACAACACGGGCGCGCACTGGGGCTTCATCATCATGACCTGGCTGTATAACTTCTCTTTCTCCTGTACCTGCGGTCCCCTGTCGTGGATCATCCCGGCCGAGGTGTTCGACACCCGGACCCGTTCGAAGGGTGTGTCGCTGGCTTGCATGGTCTCCTACGCCTTCAACACCATGATCGGCCAGGTCACCCCGATCGCCATGGAGAGCGTGCGCTACAGGTACTACTACCTCTTCATCATCTGCAACTTCACGAACGCGATCTTCTTCTGGCTGCTTCTTCCCGAGACGAAGAAGCTCCCCCTTGAGGAGATGAACTACCTCTTCTCCAACTCGCCCTGGATCGTGGTGGGCACTCGCAAGGAGGACTATGTCTCCCACGACTTGGAGCGCCGTGTTGAAGAGCAGGAGGAGAAGAGAGGTGCCTTTGCCACGCACGCTGAGACTGAAGCGTAAACCTTGCTTCCTTTGGTGCAGTCGGTCGGGGTGTTGTGTCTTTGCTTCCGGCAAGTCTTGCACCCCAGCGTGGAGACATGAGAGGACAATAAGAGTCCTATAGTAAGACAGGGAGCCTTTGACCTCCTGAGTAATAGTCAGCGTGTTGCAGTATGTAGTGACTTCAATAATACCCCGTGATATTCTCACCGAGATCGTGGATTGGAAGGCGTACTGATTAAGATGATGGGTTCTTGCAGTGTGTAAAGAGTCATGTTTTTATCTTGGGAAGTCACATGGTCGTCTCCCAAGATTTCATGCTTTACCGAAAATACCTGACTTTATGACTCCTAGTGAGGGGGAAATCAACATGGATGCGCTATATAAGATTGATAGAATTTGTAGATCGAGCATCGAGCTAATTATGAATGAGCTCGTCATCCGAGCTCCAGTACATTGGCTGTACTGCAATGACGAGGACTCATTAACATGCGCAAGGCTCCCAGCATATCGATATATGAATGCGACATGTATTCTACAGAATGATGAGCTATGCTTCCGTATTTCACGCCTGCTATTGCGTAAGGACGGCCTCACTAGTCAATGATGGATTTAGCCCGCTTCATCTGGGCAAAAGCCTTACAATCTTCACAGCTTTGCTAACAAGACTACCAGGCGATCGTGCAAAGTATGTCTTTTTCCAGGATATTATATCGTGAGAGGGCATTTGTCCTTTGACTCTTGAAGCTATAATCTTCTGACGATGCTCTGTAGCAGAATTTCTTGATTTTCAATTAGACATCACCTGCTATGCGGGTAAATGCAAGCCATGGCAAGCATCACGAAACTATTAGGGGGGAGTGTCGAGTCGTATAGGCTATACAGATAGCCATGATATTCACCCAGAGAACATCGAGTTTATTCCGAGTCTGAACTGTAACCTGCCAGGCCGAGAGACAGTGACGATGAATTTGCAGCTGGCTTCTGGGCTGGCGAGTTCGTGCTCGGACTCTTTCCCACGGGTTCCCCGGGGCTGACAGCACTTTCCGCAGCACTCAGGGGCTTTTGCGTTTCGGTGAGTTTGTGAGTTGATTGAGACTTTGGCAGTGATTCATCCGCCCGAGGCTCTTTGGAGGTAGTTGGGGGTGCCTGCTCGCCTTTAGGGCTTCCTGCGGAGTCGCCACTCAAAGACTTGCGTTTTTTCCCGGGGAAAAGAAGGTCCTTGCTCTTCTCGCGTCGTCGTTTCCGCGCAGGCAGTTTCCAATCCTCTCCCTCCGCTGCCGGAACCACGTCGGCAGCTGTATCTTCGAGAAGGGTCTTTTCTGCCTCTTCCCGCTGGCGACGGAACAACTCTAGACCTTCGGCAGTCTCCTTCTTCACGGCGGCCTCTTTCGCTCGCGTCGACTCCAATATCGAGTCCAGGAATTCAACCTCATCTTCGTCCAGCGATCGGAATTGGTTCTTCAGCTTGATCTTCTCTTCGAAGGCTTCTTGCTTGGCCACTACACAGACGAAGATAGATCATCCTAACATGTCAATCCAGGGAGTTCGAAAGCACGACGTGGACCTCGCCGAGCGAGTGTCGTGATCATGATCTAACTCACTCTTGTTCTGCTGCAGTACTTCAAACAGACTCTTCCCTCCATCCTGTTTTCCCAACTCTGCTTTGCGCCTGCGTTCCTCCTCGAGCTCCTGCTGCACTCGGTGCCATTCATCATTGCGCTCGACGGGCTCTTGATCTGTCCCTGCGGATACAAATCCGGACGACATTCTGGAAGGGTTGTAAGGTAATTAAAGTATCGACCCTCGCGGCAAGGGTGTTTCGGCTTCTCCGCGGGGATGGAAAATGTTTTTCGAGGTTCAAGGGAGGCAGTGTGGCTTGACCATAGGCTATCTCCTTGTTGCTGGCCGTAATGACTGAGCGCCTTGCTACTGAGTAACTGTGAGTTTCAGACGATGTCCAGTCAATCGACAAATCACTTTGCTTGCGCCAACGAGTCACCGTTGGATTGTGATCTTCTCCGGCTTCAACCGCGTTCTGGAGAGGGAGCCACAGTGGACGGGCAGAATCAAGCGGTGAGGCGTGGAAATCTGATGTTGATTGGACCTTTCAAACGCGGAGCCCCACCAAAGCGGAGCAAACGAGTTTAGGCAAAATCCCGCAGGTGCATGGCTGCGCGGCGGGCAGCCTCGATGCCGAACCGATTCTCGGTGGTTGGACCGGAAATAATTAATAATGTTGATTTTACACGAGACCAAGGTCTGCATACGAGTAGATATGCTTTCTACTTTGTGGATGGTACCGATTTCAATCTACCTACGCTCGGCTAGTTCTTTTGAGATTCCAGGTTTGACATTCTACGGAGTAGAACTCGGTTAAATGGTTATGTCCGGTTTACTGTGTACTGTACCACAGAACTGGCAAGCTAATCTCCGGATAGTAGTACAGGTAAAAAGTAAACTTGTTTCAATTGAAGTATTGAAGTATGTGGCACGGTAAACTGACTGCCTGACTTTGTAGTATGGATGCTTGGGACCCTCATGCTGAGCGGCTAATTGCATGCGATAACGAATTGGTTTAGTTATCGGTTTCAGATTGCAATTAGAAATGACCGGCAGACACAAGGCCCTGGGAGCCCGTCGATGAATTGACCCCACCAGTATTGAACGGGCCCCGCGACCCCCGATTGACTATCGTCATCGTTCCGCGCATAGCGTGCTGGATGGACCTGCCCTGCCTCTTCATCATTATCGTCTATCGGCTCTCAGAGTGAGCGGGCACTCAGCCCCTCCCCTCCTCCCCAAGCCTATAAAGTCAACCTGCCTCCATCTGTGGGGACGGCCTCTCCTTGTTTCTCTTTCTTCCTTCCTTCAATTCTTCCCTCCTCTAAACATTTGAATCGGTTGCATTGTTTCTTTCCCCGAGTACCATCCACCAAAAGTAACAATGTCGAACCTCGAGCACACCAAGTAAGCTAGCTCCCCTCGGGGAAATTCCATCGACGTTGACTTACACTTTGGCCTCATAGGAAAACTTACACCCTTAACACGGGTGATAAGATCCCCGCTGTTGGCTTGGGCACATGGCAGAGCGGTCCTAACCAGGTCAGAGAGGCCGTCAAGAATGCCCTTCTGAAGGGTTACCGCCATATCGACACGTAAGTGGAGTATTGTGATTGATTTAAGATCCGTGTTTGACCCTCATACTAATGGTTTTCGGCGGTGATAGTGCCCTCGCCTACGGCAACGAGGCTGAGGTCGGTCAGGGTATCAAGGACTCTGGGGTCCCTCGCGAGGAGATCTGGATCACGACCAAGCTCAACAATACCTGGCACCACCGCGTCGCCGAGGGCATTGACTCTTCTCTCAAGAGCCTGGGCGTGGACTACGTCGACCTTTACCTTGTTCACTGGCCTTGCGCGACCGACCCCAACGACACCTCGAAGCATCTTCCCGACTGGGACTTCATCAAGACCTGGTACGAAGCTATCACCCCTGTAGACCCGGCATTAGCGAGTGGGTACTGACTAGTGCGGAATCTTAGGCAAGAGATGCAGAAGCTGCCCGCCACCGGCAAGGTCCGTAACATCGGCGTTTCCAACTTCGGCATCAAGAACCTGGAGAAGCTTCTGAACGACCCCAGCACCAAGATCGTCCCCGCTGTCAACCAAATTGAGTTGCACCCCAACAACCCCTCCCCCAAGTTGGTCGCCTACAACACCTCGAAGGGCATTCACTCCACCGGTTACTCTTGCCTCGGCTCAACGAACTCTCCTCTCTACAAAGATCAGACCCTGTTGGACCTTGCCGAGAAGAAGGGCAAGACCCCCCAGCAGGTCCTGCTGGTATGGGGCTTGAACAAGGGCTGGAGTGTCATTCCCAAGTCGGTCAGCAAGGAGCGCATCGACGCCAACTTCGAGCTCGACGGCTGGGACCTGACTGAGGAGGAGGTCAACCAGCTGGACAACTTGAAGGATCGTTTCAAGGTTTGCGGAGACAGCTGGCTCCCTGTCAAGGTGTTCTTCGGAGATGACGAATGACTGACCGACATGACGCGAGGCGAAAGAAGTTCTAAAATCTAAATCCAATGTATATAAGTTCGGTCAAATGCTTGAAGCCATAGAAGCATGATAGCTTGCCGGTAATAGAATAAATTGATCGTTTTTGAACATTTCCGCTAAGATTATCTTAATTGTCCCTCTAAGTGTTGTCTGAGCGCGCAGCATTGTTCGATGTGAAAGGCGATGTTTACATTGGATTGAGAGGACGTTTGCGGGGTAAAGGCGGGGCCGAAGCGATTCGGGTGCGCTTTCCTACACTGTGGTGGTGATAACTGCATTTCGTTGTCCGGCCCGGCTGTTTGAGGATAAGAGTAGAATTATCAAAGCCCGAACGATCAACATCACACAATTAGACCAAACAGTTGCAGGTTGGTGTTTGGTCGCCACATCATCATCGAACCACTCCCCTTCGGGGCACGTGGTTCCGGATCACATGCAGCACCGCCACTCGGCATCATGGATCCGCCGTCCCCTCGCCGTGTCACATCATCCATCCCCCGGACCCGTCTTCCTCTTATCTCCTTTCTTCCTTCAATCATCAGGAGATGGTTAATCCATCATCTACTCGCTCATAACTTTATCCATTGTTTCAGTCAGGATGCCGCCTTCTAACGGGCACCTGCTGCTCCCCAAGGTCTGGAGAGCAGCCAGGTGAGTCATTTGCCACATAGTTCTTGCTTCCAGCGTACCCTAATACTAATGCTCCCCTAATTAGGTCTGCCTACGAGAAGGCCTGTAAAACATTAAGGTCAAAGTTTCCCGACCAAATCCCTCAGGGTTCGCTCCGTCTTCAACCTGAATACATTAGGGTTGCTCACAGACAACCTATCAATCGAGCGGCTGCCATCCGTCAAGCCCGGAGTCGCCAATTCTCGACTCGTGCGGCGGGATCCTATGTCTCATATCTCCGTAGTGGTCTTCAAGCAGACCGTACTGCGACAGCGAAGGTATCTTCTGTCGCCTCCAATATTAGCCGGTTGACAACCCGTGCTCCTTTCGCATCCGCTCTCCGCCCGAACTTGACCGGTGGTACGTTGGGCCGCACGGCCGGAGGTTATACAATTGGCGCCGGCCGCATTGGCGGTGCACGATATTTCTCACATGGCCCGGCTGCACCGGCTCAGGTCATTAACAATGTGTCAATGGGTGTGCGTGCGTTCTTCCTCTCAGGGCAGAAGGCTCGATTTGATGGGGTCGATCCTATCACCGGGAACAAGCGGTACAAGGCCGTCAGCAAGCTTCAGGATGAAGCTGAGCGCAAGATGACTGGCATTCCTCGCACGGCCCCTGGGTCCTTCACCGACTTCCAGATCTCTCCTACCATCACTGCCTTCGGCCTGCAGAAGAATTTGGCTGCCACCAGCACTTGCGATGATCAGACGCTGAACTCGGAGGGCCTCCTGGATTTGCTGTCTGCCGACTTTGCCCGGACCCTCAAGGATCTGGCTGTCGTCCTGAACGATCTCAAGCGTTTGAAATCTCTAGGCGACTTGCCCGTCATACTCCACGACCGGTCTACGATTAGAGTACGGTTTCCGGGTTGCGATGCTGAAACTGTTGAGAGGCTTTGTGACGAAGCAGGTATTCAACGAGGCAAAATCATGCAAGATGAGGATTTCAACACTCGTACGGGTGCCGATCTTGCTCTCCTGTTCCCATTTGCGCCTAGCGTCCCAGCGTCTCCGCAGGTCGATGAATACTTCTACAAACCTCAGTTCATGAAGTCCCAGGCGCCCGAAGAAGTCGATTGGCATGCCATGATGTCTCCCGAGCAAATCAGCGACGCGTCGTCTAGTGTGCACAAACAGTCTTCCAACCAGATAAGCTTTGAGGATGTAACCATATTTGCCAAAAATCCCTGGGCGTCGCCCTTGTCGGGGTATTCCAGCATTAACGTCAGCGAGCTCGGAGACCACGCCTACTTCCCCGAGGCCCTAAGCAGTGGGATTCCTGTTACCGCCTCCGAATACGAAGGCTCGGACGGAATTCGCAAGTTCATTGCTGAGTGCGATACGGCTGCGCGATACTGAAGCACATGCCAAACTGTACAGCTTTACACAGTCATTTCTCGTTTCCTTGCGTGTTTTCCTTGCGTTCTTTAAACAAGTACTTAGGTGAATCACGAGTATGCTTGGGCAATTCAGATTTACCAGCCATCTATCTGATGCGCTCATATCTAACATATATACCACTATTGTCATTTCGAGTTCAATTAACTCTTGAATGTTTCCAAATTTCATCTCATTTAATGCATTTCACCTCCCACGTATTGTTAGTGATGCTTCGCATGACTCTCTAAGCCAGGTATTTGTGTCGCGAGGCTACATCGATCAATAGTCTGAGCCGACGGCGACGACCTTTTGGAGAGGACTTCGTCCCTTGGCACAGGCATACCCGCGCTGCTTTTGTCGATATCAAGTCTCTGCTTTGATTTGTAGCCAAAAGTCCCCGCGCTTCGGGATATTGCCATGCGGATCGGCAATTCTCAATAGCTATGTCAACCTGCAATTCTCTGACAAGCTGCTTCTATTACTCGAGATGTAGATAATATCGCTTGGGAGATCGGAATCTCATATTGTAAGCTAGCAACTAATACTGTGACAACCACTGAAGCGATTATATAACCAGACAGCCTACTACATGATCGGTTTTCCGGCCAGTATCAACACAGTCTGATACATAAAGAGTCACCTGGTGAAGAGTGGGATGTTGGAAAGCGATGGACAGAGCAGCAAGGCGGTCAGTTAGCGTCTGTCAAAAAGCCCACCGCCAACCCCGCGCTAAGCTGGAAGGAGGGCGATCCGATCCACTGATAACAGTCCATCCACATGGAGATTCACACACTGCAACTATCCTGACCTGGAAGCTCATTCATTTACTTTACTACTTCCCGCATTCCGCCGTCTCTCCTAAAAGCTCCCGAATATTACATGACTCTATAGGAAAAGACACACTCGGTACTGTTCTGGGGACTCTCCTGTGCTGGAGGTGTTCGACCGGGTCTCAAGCAATTGCTACCGGTCTGAGCAAAGAAATCACATAATATCTTCCGATCGCACCCCTCTCGATTTGCCGTCACACAGACACGATGGAGGACTTCAACAGTGAAACTGACAGCGACTACACCAGCTACTGGAGAGATTGGGTAAGGCGCCCCTCCCCCCACCACACCTGCCCCCCTCTCGTCGACGTGAGCGAAGTGGACGGCGGCTCGATGCTGGTGAATGAGTGCGACTTGACAGTTACACCTGGGGACGTCATCATGACCGGAATTGCGAATGAAGTTGCGACGGCAACTTCTTGAAAGTTGCTGAGGGGCCGCTTTTCTCAGTCAATTCTGTCTTCGCTGTCCCCGGGAAGGCCTCCAGATACCTCGGATATATCGATCTCAACCCGAGATCTTGTCTTGTTGCCTCTCTGCTCCTGCATCGAACCCTGTCCATTCGTTTTTCAGAGCCCAAACCCTTCCGCGCCAACAACGTCTTGATTGCTGAGAGCCCGTAACTGACTACTTCTGGAAAGTTTATCTCCTCTCGTGGCAATGAATACTTTTGCGAAATCGACGAGGATTACCTCACGGATCGCTTTAACTTGACCGGCCTGAACACCGAGGTCGCATACTACCAGTACGCCTTGGACCTAGTGACGGATGTCTTCGATCTCGACGCAGACGACGACCTCCGCGAGCAGATTGAGAAGTCAGCACGCCACCTTTACGGCCTGGTCCATGCGAGATACATTGTCACCACTCGCGGGCTTGCCAAGATGGTAAGACGCTGAAGTTGCGAAGCCACCGCCGTCTCTAATCACCGGAAAATAGGTCGATAAACTAAAGCGCGGCGATTTCGGCAAATGTCCCCGAGTCATGTGCGAGGGCCACCCCCTCTTGCCGATGGGCCAGCACGACACGCCCAATATCAGCACGGTCCGTCTTTACTGCGCCAAGTGCGAGGACGTCTATCACCCGAAGTCGTCTCGCCACGCCTCCATCGACGGAGCCTACTTCGGCACCTCTTTCCACAGCATGCTTTTCCAGGTGTATCCTGCGCTGATGCCGGAGAAGAGCATTCGTCGCTATGAGCCGCGCGTGTTCGGATTCAAGGTGCACGCCAGCGCTGCCTTGGCTCGCTGGCAGGATCAGTATCGCGAAGACATGAAGACGACTCTTCGCGATGTTGGAGTAGAGGTCAAATACATAGAAGACGACAGCGAAGATGATCTGGAAGACGACGATGATGAGGCGATCTCGGACACCAAAGAAGAGGAGAAGGTTATCGGTGACGCTGCTTCGGGCCGCATGGATCTCGGCAATTAAAGCATAGCAGCGCCTCTTCTCTCTCTTCGTCTCTTCATCCCGTCTGGTTTGCACAGTTTTTCCCGCCCTTGAGAATGGAGTTATTTTCTTCCATTATCATATATTTCAATTGCATTACATCCTTTCTTCGCAACCACCCACATGCATCTCAAGGGTTGGTCCCTTTTCCTCTTTCTCCCCCCATCCCCTCCCCCTCTTATATCGTCCCTTGCTTTAATGTCTTTTGAAAAATCGCAGGAGTGTGACGGAGGGGGTGGGTTCCTCAACAAATTATATCTCATCTGCTTTGCATTTATGATTATGAAATCACACTGGTGGCGTTGGAAGTCTTCCGGAGATGGCGGGTCTGTTTCTTATCTTCTTCTGATGTGAACTAGTTTCTCTTTCCCGGCCGACAGGCTTTCAGGATATACATTTCGATCTGGCTTGGTTGAATCTCACCTGGCTTCTTCTAGTCCGTCCGTCTCTTGACGAAAGACTCTATAAAGGACTGCATTGTTCTCCAACGGAGTTCATTCATCTTGTGTAAATGTACAGTCCGTAGCGAACGCCAACGTGTAAAAAAAAGGCAGGCCGTCAATGCATTTTCACGTGAGTCTATAAGTCGTGTATGAAGCTCCGTATATACAGTACAATAAACCATTCTCAAATGTCTCTCTCTTTCACTCCTGCAACTCCAGCAGCTTGTCCAGCGTGAAGGCAATGGCCCGCGCCAGCTCGATCCCCTTGTCCCAACAGTCGTCATGCGCCCCCTTGATGGGAAGCAGTTCGACCTTCCTCCTGCTGCTGCTGCCGCCTTGAGACGAAGAAGACGCCGTCGCCTCAACCCAAGGCTTCAAAGCCTCGCTCATTACCTCGTGCTGGCGCGCATTGACCAGCTCATCCTCCGGCGAATGCGCCAGCACCGCCAACCGGCCGGCCGTCCACCCACCCACCACACCATTCCGCTCATCCCTCACCGCCGCCGGCGACACGGCATCCCACAGCGCCTCCTCTTCTCCAAACGCCCCCTCAATGATCTGCTGGTACGCCGCGATCTGCACATGATCATCCCGCAACGCCCGCAGATCATAGATGCCCGCCGTCCCCAAAATCGCCTGGGGCCCCATCGCCACCGACCCGCCGCCGAGCCCGAGCCCGAGCCCGAGCCCGATCCCTCCACTCCCGCCTACCGCACCATCCCTACCATGCCCATCACCATGCCCATCCCCATCCACCAGCCCATTATTGGAAGTGGTGGTCTGGTTACCGCGGAACGAGCCCATAACCGACTGAAACGCCAGCGTGGCGCCGCAGCTGTGCCCGACGAGGATGTAGCGGTCCCCGAAGCCGTACTTGCGCTGCAGGAAGGCCAGCGCGGCCTGCACGTCGGCGATGTGGTCCGGGTGGCGCGCGGCGCGGTATTCCGTGGGGGTGGTGCTGTTGCGGTCCTGCGGGTGGGCCGGGTGCGGGCTCAGGCGGTAGTTGATGGAGGCGAAGCCGGCGAGGTGGGCGTGCGTCGTCGAGGCGTAGGGCTCCGAGGCCGCGAGGATGGAGACCGCCGGCGTCAGGTAGTTCAGGGCCGCTTGCGTGGGGTCGCGCCAGGCGCCGCCGTGGATGCAGCTGGTTCACATTATTGTGAGTGAGTGAGTGAGGGAGGGTGTTTGGATGTTGGGTTCTTTGCGGTGGGTAGGGTGGAAGGAATGGGAAGGTGTGTATATTGAGGTAGGTTGGTTCGGGGGGGGGGGGCATGGAAGGGGGGAACATACATCACCCAGTAGCCTTTGTCGGGGAGAGCCGATAAGGTGGTCACTGTCACGGTTTGGAGGACATGGTTGGTCCCATAGGAAAAGGTTTCAGGGATCATTGGATCAATGACTGGGGGTATAGCGGTGATAGACATTGAAAGGAAGGGGTTTAGGATGAGATGATTGGGAGGGGACCGGAGTAAGAAAAGAGAAATTGGGTTATCAGTTCACAGGAGTCATGATGATGGAATGGAAGAAGCCCAGTGCTGCTGTTGAGTTTCTGGTTAGCGTGGCGTCCGGTTTGTCTGTGGAGCAATGGCCGCGCTTATCGCGAACCCAACATGATACTTTCACTAAAACATTCTGTTGATGCCTTATAGTCCTGAATCAGTGGATGTCAGGCCAGTAGGTAATGAAGACCTTCGACCATCCAAGATTGAGTGAAGAGACAGAGAGAGAGACTCATGTGGTCACTCCACCTGCACGCCCGCGGCCGCAAAAGATATTGCCCGTTTGGGCAGCGGCGCTGACTGCTCCTATGGGGCTTGGCACACTAATCCCAATTAGGGGTTAGGCGGTGGGAGCAAATGCTGAATTCCATCCACACAAACCATCGCCGCCATTCAACCCATCGTCGCCGTCTATACACGTATACTCTGGGCTGCTGCATTCAAAATGGCGGAGTAAGTGCTTCTTGGATTTCTCAAGTATTGACCCAAGGATGAAACTAATGTTAAACCCTACAGGAAAGAAGTTCCTCTCACGGCCGTCAAGGTCGAGGCCTTGGTATGCACCACCACCACCCTGAAAATCTTCCTCACCACCCTACCCCCCCGCTTTAGACAGCCCGGTCGGTCATGATGCTGACGGTTCTCGCCATTAGGTGGTGATGAAAATCATCAAGCACGGCTCGCAATCTTTCCCCACGACTGCGACCGGTTCGATTGTTGGTATGGATGTCAACGGCACCCTGGAGATCACCAACTCGTTCCCTTTCCCCGTCGTTGAGATGCCCGCCGAGTCGCACTTCGACAACGCCGCCCCCAACCCGGCCGCCGCTGCTCCCCGTGCGAAGGCCAACGCCGTCTACCAGGCCGAGATGGTCCGGATGCTTCGCGAGGTCAACGTTGACGCCCAGAACGTCGGATGGTACACCAGCGCCAACATGGGCAACTTTGTCAACATGAACGTGATCGAAAACCAGTTCTTTTACCAGAAGGAGATGAACGAGCGTACAGTCGCCTTGGTGCACGATGTCAGCCGTAGCGCCCAGGGAAGCCTGAGCCTGCGTGCCTTCCGCCTGTCTCCCAAGTTCATGACTGCTTTCAAGGAGAACAAGTTCACCTCCGAGGAGTAAGTTCTAGCTGATGCCTTGGAAGTTTAAGCTGCGTCGCTAACATCCACCAGGCTCCAAAAGTCCAACCTCAGATACCAGGACATCTTCGTCGAACTTCCCGTTGAGATCCACAACTCCCACCTGATCACCTCTTTCGTCCACCAGCTTCAGTCCCCCATCCAGTCCGCCCCCACGGATCTCCCCGCCTCTTTGTCTGCTCTGGAGTCTGGACCCTTCGCCAAGTCCTCCGTGCTGGCCCCCAACTTCGACAACCTCTCCCTCAGCATCGATCCTTTCTTGGAGAAGAACTGCGACCTTCTGCTCGACAGCATCGAGGTCCACCACACCGAGACCAACAACTTCCAGTACTACCAGCGCTCGCTTGCCCGTGAGCAGGCCAAGATCACCGCCTGGCAAAACAAGCGCAAGACCGAGAACGCCAACCGTGCGACTCTCAAGCAGCCCCTCCTCCCCGAGGACGAGTGGCAGCGGCTGTTCAAGCTCCCTCAGGAGCCCAGCCGTCTGGACAGCATGCTGAACAGCCGCCAGGTCGAGCAGTACGCCCGCCAGGTGGACAGCTTCGTTGCCTCCACGACGGGCAAGATGTTCGCTGTCAAGGGTAACCTTCTGCCGGGAGAGACCGCCAAATAGAGTTGAGGACTTCTAGAGGAAGCGCGAAGAAGACGAAGATGAAGAAGAAGAAGGGCCAAACTGATATGATCTGTCTCACACTGTGGGGATTCTGGAAATCGCATGCATGACCTTACGGCGTAGGGAGGGAAAATTCTGTATCTGACTGTTAATATGTCTCCTGGTTGTTTCTTAATTCCAGTGACGAATAGAGTTACGGGATATGACTTTTGGGGGAGAATTCGCTTTCAATCTATATAGGTTTTTTGTTTGTTGTTTACCGATGTTTCCCCATCCCCTCCCCCTGTTTCGCCTTTGGTGAGAGCGTCTCTGCATGTTTCCCCAGGTTGACTGCTTCGGGAATGGCGCTGCCCTAATTGCTGTGTTAGGGTACGATGTGTCCACGTGACGTGGCATTGATGACCTCATCGTTTGATACCTTTGCTGCCGATAACGATTAGATAAGGATTGATACAATCATTACAATGACGATTGCTATTCCAGTGATTCTCAATGCTCACGAGTAGATTATCTTGGATCCATACAGAATAGATTCAATTCATGCATACACAATGCCCAACACCAACTCCGACATCTGGCTCGTATGTCAATCCCAGCAGCGCAGCAGCAATGCCCTCCCAAACCGCCTCATCCTACCTGCGCGTACCATCATCGCACCCCATACCCCATGAGTATCCCATAGCCTATGACTACAGTACTAACCATGAGGGAAAAAAAAAAACAACAGTCCGGCGCCTTCGCCGTCGTCATCACCGATTTCATGGTCTACCCCTTCGACACCCTCAAGACGCGCCTGCAATCCCCCGACTACGCCACCGTCTACAAGGACGCGACGACCGGCCAGATCAAGCGCGGCGTGCTGTTCAAGGGCCTCTACCAGGGCGTCGGCAGCGTCGTCCTCGCCACGATTCCAGCCTGTAGGTCTGCCCTTGCCTGTCCTGTCCCCTCAACATAAGCCCCGGGCAACCCATCTCTCTGATCTCGCATCCCCAAACTAAGAGAATCCCCCCGAAAAAGCAGGAGCATTCTTCACCACCTACGAAGCAAGCAAACAAGCCCTCACGCACCTCTTCACCAAAACCACCACCACCACCAACCAGACCCAATCCCAGACACAAAAGACCACCACCCTCCCAACACCCCTCCTCCACTCCCTCGCCTCCTGCACCGCCGAAGCAGTCTCCTGCTTCATCCTCACGCCAGCGGAGGTGCTGAAGCAGAACGCCCAGATCGTCACCAGCACCAGCACCAGCACCAGCACCAGCACCAGCACCAGCACCAGCACCGGCGCCGCAAAGCCCAAAAACCTAACCCTCACCATCCTCCACCGCTTCCGGCACCGACCCTGGAAACTCTGGAGCGGATACACGGCACTCCTCGGCCGCAACCTCCCGTTCACGGGGATCCAGTTCCCGATCTTCGAGTTCGTCAGGGGCAAAGTGGTGGCGTATCGGGCGGGGACGCACCCGGAACACGACGTGAACGGTGGAATCGTCGAACGGGTCTGCGTGACGGGCGTCGCGGGGAGTGTGGCGGGGACGGTGTCCTCGGTGGTGACGACGCCGATTGATGTGGTCAAGACGCGGATGATGTTGGCGGCTACGGAGACGGCGGAACCACAAAAGAGGGCCGGGGCGTGGGCGGTGGGGAGGGAGGTTTATGGGAAGGAAGGGGTGAAGGGGTTGTTTCGGGGCGGGGCGTTGCGGGCGTTCTGGACGGCGATCTCGTTTGGGATCTATTTGAGCATGTATGAGGGGGGCAAGGTTTATTTGGGGAGTAGGCGGGGGGAGCGAGAGAGGGAGAAGCAAAAGGCAAGAGATGATGAGGAAGGGGCGCCGTTGTAGGCTTTCTTGGGCTAGATGCTCGGGTTGGATTTGGGGGTATGCAAGAATAGAGAGAGCCTAAAGTAATACTCCAATTGCTACGGAGTACCAGGTGCAAGCATATAGGAAATGTGCCTCAAGTATGCCAATCACTGGCAAGCAAAAAATAAAAATCATTCTCATGGTAGTCGTACATCATATAATCCAAGCGCATCATCTAAATCATTTTCTTTCACTTCGGATACAAAGTCACATGCCAAAGACACATAATCATTCATCAAACATCCAGGATATCTTCCAGGTTCGGCCTCATTGCACTGTCGTTTCATCGTTGAATTCATAAAAGGGCCCCGACTCGCAGATTGTAATAGTGCGACAAGCCTGTTGGAACTGCATGCGTCACCTCATCATCCCAGATTGGTCAATTTGCGGAACCAATTGGGCATTCTCCCATTGCTAACCGGGGGCGGCGCGTAGCGGTCTTCATAGCGGCCTTCATACGGCGACCGCATCCCCCGCGCACGCTCGTAGTCTCCACTCCCGGAACTCCGCTCGGAGCGTCGCACCTCGCGTTTCCGGGAACGGAGCTCGTCGATCTCCTGGTCCGTCAGCCCGGGGTATCTGGCTCGCCGACGAGCCCGGCGGCGCAGTTCACGGCGCGCCTCTTCGTCCGACGAGATCGAGCCGCCGTTTGCGGCCCCTTCGGGTCCTCCGGGCATATCTAGCACCGTAGTCATCACGGGTGGGGGTTCCGGCGGATCATCCGCCTGTGAGTCGATCCAGGACGAAGTCTTATCCTTGCGGCCTCCGGACATCATTGGCCGGAATCTCTCCGCATCGAGAGGAGGCGCCCTGGACTTCCGACGCCTGGACCGCTCGCCGTCGGCAAGTCGCTCCGGGTGGTGATGATAGTGGTGAGGTGGGGGAGGGGCAGCCTGATCGGCATCCATCATGCCACCGAAGTAGAACTCTCGGGCAGCCCGATCGTCGACGGGCATGGACCGGCGCTTAGATCTGCCAGACTCCTGGGTGGGGTCATACATTTCTGCCTCTCGCTGCCTCCTGCGCTCGCGGCGCTGCGCAGCCCTAGCTTCGGCGGCCTCACGGGCCTCTTCCTCTTCTCTGGCACGCCGCTCCCGCTCCTCACGGGCAGCCCGGCGAGCTCTTCGCTCCTCCCGTCGTCGTTCGGCCTCCCTTTCCTCCTCCTCACGCAGCTGCCGCTCCTGCATCTCGCGTTCCCGTGCCATTTCTCTTTCTTTGCGCCGAGCGCGCCTCTCTTCGGCCTCCCGCCATTCGCTCTCGCGAAGCTGATCAGATGCGGCTTGCCGCGCAGCTCGTCGGGCTCGGCGTGCCGCCCTCCTTGCTTCCGCTTCTTCTGCATCCGTTTCGGGGAATGCCTCTACCGGCGGAGCATCGGTGAGGAACCCCTCACCGTCCATATCCGGCATATCATGTCGTCTCCGTCTGCTCTCGTGTCTTATGCGACGAGACTCGCCGCGCTCTGGTTCAGTCATATATCTGGCATCTTCATCCCCGTAAGAGCGAGACTTGTGACGCTCTGGCATCTCGGGGCGGGCCGTTCTCCGTAAAGATCCGATAAGCCCCTTGAGACCACCCGGACCGGGCTCTGGCTTTCTTGGAGCCGTGTTTGACCGTCTGAGACGTCGTTCCCGCGGAGGTTCCACAAATGCAATATCATCCGGCCCAGATACGACTTCTGGACCCTCTTGCTGTAGCTCGTCGAGCATGGCCCTGTCATCCAACTCGTCATGTCGAGACCGCGACTGCGTAAAACCGAAGCAGTTAGCCGAAGCTCATGGTCCATCAATTCTAACTTTCTTACCTTGTGTCGAGAGCGTCTGTCGGAATGCCGCGATCCTCTTGAACCACCCTCTCGGGGTGCAGAAGCATCGAGATCATCTCTGTCCACCATGACGATATCATCCTCGTCAATCGCATACGGATCAGGCACAGCTACAGGGCCATAATTAGTAAATCAGCAGCGCGAAGCCATTGGGAGGCATTAATACCTGATCGCCTGCGAGATGCATGAGGTCTCTCTCGTCTTGAAGAACCGTTCGTACCCATCGTTCTGGCAGCTTTATCCGGCATGTCTCGGTGGTTGTCTGGTGGCGGCGTGGGCAATTTAGTATCCTTCACATCATCGCTCATCTCTACGGAGGGGCGTCTTGATATCGGCCTTGGAGCTTGGGCTCCAGACTTCTTCGTGGACTTCTTCCGAGACGGAGGGGGCATCCCCAGGATAAAGTGGGAGAATGTCATACCTCGGCTATGTCGGGCTTCTCTGCGTCGATCCCGGTCGGAAGTAGATGACTTTTCGACCTCATTCTCACCTTCCCGGGATTTAGGGTGTCTGGTTGACCTCGTCCGCACCATCAGTGGTGGGGAATGCTCTCCCCGATGCCTAGACTCTTTCTGGGGCGTTTTCTTAGAAGGGGCGCCAGCCCAGAACCCCCACGAGGCAGGACCGGGGGTGCGCTCCACACGGGTGCGCTCCTTTCTGGGCATCTTGTCAGGTTGGCTTTCGATAGGCTCCGGAGGGGGCGTTGGAGGTCCACCGTGACCTACATCAACCGGCGGACGATCTGCCGGAAGTACAGCCTGTTCTAGGCTGGATACCTTCTTGCTCTTCTTCTTTGGCTTCTCAAATTCTGGAGCAGGCGCCTCATCGAGCTTCGGTATAATGTCGCGTTCTTGTTGAATATCAGCCACTGGTTCGGGCTCTTCCAGAACGGGGACAGGGGCGTCTTCCACGACTGGAGCAAGGACAGGCTCCGGCTCTAGCTCAATGACCTTCTTCTTCTTTTTCTTCTTCTCAGTTTTGGAAAAGGGCACCGGAAGAGGCTCAGGCTCGGGTTCAGGCTCTATTACGGGCTCTGGCTCCGGTACTGGGGCTGGGGCGGGTTCAGGTTCAGGTTCAGGCTCCGCGACTGGCTCCGGAATGGGCTCAGGAACAAGAACAGGCTCAGGCTCTACTTCGATCACCTTTGCCTTCTTCTTCTCTTTCTTCTTGGCCTTCTTTGACAACACCACTGGCTCTGGTACTGGTTCCGGTTCCAGCTGTACGGGTTCAGGAATAGGCTCTGGCGCAGGTTCAGGCTCAGGTTCAGGCTCAAGCCCCTGAACGGGGGGTTCCGGAACAGGGGGTGGGGGAATATCGTCGTACTCGTCGTCAAACGCGTCGGGAAAGCTTCCAGGGACCAGATCACGCGAAGACTTTCTCGGTCGATATGGCTCAGGCTCAATATCAACAATGAGCTCTTCCTGGGGAAGCTCAACAACTTCCTCTGGTGGAGGCAGCACGACTTCCTTTGCCTTAGACTTCCCCGCTTTCTCTTTCAATTTATCCTTCCTCGCTTGCTCAAGAGACTTGATGCGCTCAGCGACGGACAACTTGGCTGATGACTTGGTCTTGGAGGTGACAACAGGAGTCTTTGTTGGCGGGGCGGCTTGTTCCTCGACAACTGGTGGCATTGGCGCTTCGGGCGCTTCTGGCGCTTCTGGCATCTGGGGTGCATCGCCAATGTCGATTAGTAAGTCGTCGTCAGCGGGCTTGCTCTCCAGTTCAGGCTCCGGCTCCGGCTCCTGCATAATCTCTATGGGCTTGGCTTTCTCAGCTGACTTCTTTTTCGTCGCCTTCGGTTTACCCATCGTTGCTGCTCCAAGAGTGGCCCAGAACCCCATCGAAGCCTTTGGTGTCTCCTCTATCCCAAATCCCTTGCTAGTACTCTTGGGAGGCTTGACATCATATTCATCCCAGAGAGGCTCCTCGGGCACGTGCTCTGTAGGCACATATCCTTCTGGCTCATGTGTGAATCCTAGAGAAGGTGGAGTCGGTGCGGGGGGAGGTGGCTCCGCTGCAATCTTGCTACCTTTCTTCTTTTTCTTGTCTTTCCCAGTACTCCAGATACCCCAGCTCGCTTCGTCATAGACTTGTTCAGCTTGTATGGGTGCAGGCGCAGGTTCATCGATGGTCTCTGGTACAGGTTCGGGTAGCGGCTCGGGCTCGGGTTCCACAACAGGTTCGGGTTTAGGTTCAGGTTCTGGCTCGGGTTCATGAACAGGCTCAGGCGCGGGCTCAGGAACCGTTTCTGGCTCCAGGGCAGGTTCTTCATGCTTAGCAGGTGGAGGTGGTGGCCAATCAAAATCCTTGCCAGGAATTGGAAGCCCTTTCTTAACTAACTGCTTCTCTCTCTTTTTCCGTTCCTTGGAGTTCAAATTTTCCCAGTTGTCGTACAGAGGGTTGTCTGGAATAGCTGGAGTTTCTGGTTCGGGCTCGGGCTCGGGCTCGGGTTCGGGTTCAGCAACTGGCTCTGGTTCTGGCTCGGGGACGGGCTCAGGGACGGGCTCAATCTCAGGTTCCGGATCTGGCTCTACAGGCTCAGGTACGGGCTCAGGTTCAGGTTCTTGCACGGGCTCAGGCTCAGGTTCCGGCTCGGGCTCGGGCTCAGGCTCAGCGGGTTGAGGAGGAGGCCATTCGAAATCTTTGCCAGGGATTGGAAGCCCTTTCTTGACCAACTGCTTCTCTCTCTTCTTCCGATCCTTGGAATTCAAGTTTTCCCAATTATTGTAGAGAGGATTATCCGGTATGGCTGGAGGCGCGGGCGCGGGCTCGGGCTCGGGCTCGAGGACTGGCTCTGGCTCTGGCTCTGGTTCAGGCTCAGGCACTGATTCTTGCTCAGGTTCAGGTGCCGGCGCTGGTGCCGGCTCTGGCTCGGGCTCGGGCTCGGCAGCCTTGCCCTTCTTCTTTTTCTTGTCCTTCTTGGACAATCCCCAGGCGACCCAATCATCATCTTCTTCTTTCTTTTCTTCGACGGGCTCAGGTTCGGGCTCAGCCGGCGGCTCTGGAGCTGGTTCCTCGACAACTGCCTCCTCCACGACGGGCTCTTCGAGGATGGCATTTTTCTTGGCCTTCTTATCCTTCTTCTTGGAGGTAGAAGTCCAGGCATTCCAGTCGTCCTCAGGGGGAGCAGTCTCAGCCGCTGCCGGTGGTTCAGGCGCAGGAGACTCCGCAGGTACAGTTTCTTCAAGCAGAGCATCTTTCTTCTTCTTCTTTTTGTCCTTCTTCGAAAGTTGTGCTCCCCAGCCCCAGTCGTCGTCGTCGGCTATCTCTGGAAGTTTCTCTGGCTGCGCCTGCGGCTCGGGTTCTGGCGTAGGTTCTGGCTCCTGAACTGGCTCAGATTCAAGGTCTTTGGGAAGGTCTTCCTCCGCGTCTTTCTTCTTTTTCTTCTTGTCCTTCTTGCCCATGGTAAAACCACCCCAGATGTCATCCTCGGGCTTGGTCTCTTTTTCGCCACTGATGGCATTATCGGTGCCAACAGGTTCGTCGATGCCTCCAAACCCAAATCCCACGCTTGTAGTCTTCGCAGCAAACGACCAAGGATTGTTGTCTGCTTTGCCTTTATCGGGTGTCGCACCGTTTGCGCCATTCAAAGTGTCCAGACCCCATTTGTTACCTGTGCCCCACCCCTTGTCCCAGCCACCGAAGCTGAAACCGACATCTCCGGTTGGAGGAGGCAGACCTAAATCCAACTGCGGCACGTTCTCACCTAGGCTCACCTCCTGAAACCCATTCGTTGGAGGCGGGGGAGGCATCTCGGGCACAGCCTCGGGAACAGCCTCGGCGCCCTACAGATTCGGTCAGACTGGATGCAATGGTTGTTTCCAAAATGGGGATAAATTGCTCAACATACCTTGCCTTTCTTTTTCTTCTTCTTGCTACTTGCAGTGGTAAAACCAGCCCAGCTGTCATCGTTTGCACCGTCGGCATCGTCCGCCCAGCTGAGGTTGTTGGCGGCTGCAGCTTCTTCGGCAGCTTTCTTCTCCTCCTCCTCTTTTGCTCTTTTCTCTTCCTCTTCCTTGGCTAGTCTCTCTTCCTCCTCCCTGGCTAGTCGCTCCTCTTCTTCCTTGGCCGCTTTTTCCTCCTCCTCCTTCTTCAGTCGCTCTTCTTCCTCCTGCTTCTTCTTCTTTTTCTTGCTCTTTGTGGTGGTCGTAGCCCACGCGTCCCAGTCATTGTCGTCTTCGTTGTTCCCGCCATCTCCACCGTCTCCACCGTCGCCGCCGTCGCCACCTCCGCCGTTGCCGTCATCCCCTCCGTTGCTTCCCTCACCAGCATCACCGCCCCCGTCGTTGCCATTATTATCGCCGTTCTGGTCGTCACCACTCCCCTGATCCTGCTTGTCTCCACCCTCATCCGGCGGTGGGCTTTTCTTACGTTGTGGCTGTGGCGGGTTTTTTTTCTTCTTCTTTGCGTGTTCTCGAACACCCTGGATCTTGTCAAAGTCGATAAGTCGAGACGAGGACTTATCCTTATTTGAGCTCGACGCGATTTGCGCTGGTGCCGAGTCATCGGACAGATCTTTCCGATGGGCGAACGGAGCTAGAGTGGAGTAGTCCGGGGGGAGATCGGTTACAGCTTCGTCGTATGAAGGCGGGGGGTCCTCGTAACACTTATTATCGGGCACCTGGAGATCGACTTCATCAAGCGCTGTGCTTTTCAACACGTAGAAAGACTTCTCGGTGGACTCTGATAGACTCTTCTAGTATGACATTCATAGTTAGCCTTTTTGCGCTGAATGTTGACAGTGTATCTGACGGGATAATCAGCTAGCTCAAGCCAAGAGGGTTTGGTCATACCTTGCCATCGCTCGTCGCAATGGCTCTATTGCAACTGCCGGGTGCAGCGATCTCTCGTACCACTGAGGCGACAGACGCCGCCTTTTGATCATGATGATCCCCGCATGGTCTCACGCAGCTCTTCTTCTCTGCCCGGCATGTCGGCCAACACTCGATCTGAGTACGGGAATCACCCCATTTCGACTCTGCGAATTGGCCTTGGTCGAGCATGCGCACGGTCTCCATGCTGGTAAGAGAGAGATGTAGCGCATGAGTCTTGAAGGGCGATCGGCCTGCTCCTCTTGAAGAGGCAGTTATCTCCCGACACCGCAGGCTGGAAACACGGAATCTATACCTAGTTTCCGCGTCGGGATCGGGTATCAGGTGGCAGAATGATCCAGAATATAGGGAGTGCGCGTAACAATGGACACCAGATGAAAGGGCTTAGAGAACCGAGAAAGCCTCCCCTTGATATAATTAACAAGCGGCCAGCGCAATCGCAGCCACAGCACGCGCAAATTCAGAGGGCCAAAAACGTCACGCTGACGGAGAACTGCAGCCAAAGAGAAGGGGGTGTAGTGGGCCTGCAAGCCTAAGGGAATACAAAAGACAAAAAGATCAGCGAACACGAAAAAGGTATATGTTGGAATATGCGAGGAGAGCGCTCGAGAATGATGACGGCAAAGGTTCAGTAGAAAGGGAGAGTAGGGATGCGGAGGCAGGCCATCGAGTCGATGGACCACAAGGCGGTGGACTGGGAGAAACCGAAGAAGAAAGAGAGCGCAATTCTGCTCAATCAAGATCTGGATCCTTCGCCAGACGATGATTGGGGATTGGCGGGGATGCGATGCGAAAGCTAGCTCTGGAATGTAAGCTAGTACCGAGGCTTTCAAGACAGGGACGTCAGCCAGCAATCGTGGGTAGGAAAGGGGAGGAATTCGGGGAGATGATGGTGGAGTGAAAAGAATCACTGCGTACTGCGTGCAAATCGGAGATTTCGAAGGTCTTACATTTCTGTCCGTCTATGCGATTGACAAGAGTGATTTGATTTGCTCCAACCCAAAAGAGGAACAAAGGGAAAAACTAAAAAAAAAAAAAAAAAAAGAAGAAAAAAAGAAAAAGTATTTGAGACCGGGGTGAAATCCCCGAGGCCCAAGACCGAGAAGCGTATAGTAGAGTTGATAGGATGGCGGTGGCTGGGGATGGATGGGACGGCACCGACCACCAGGCTAAGAGATCGCTCAGACTGGGGGGGGAAGGGAAATAACAACGCGTGCGAGAGAAAAGGAAACAATCAGAGTCGTCACCGCCGATCGGACCTGGTCTAGTAGTGCATCAGCAACAATCAAATTACGAGGGTCGAAGGGAGCGAGAAGCAAATAAGAAAGATTGCCAGTGGTGAGAAAGAGAGATCGAGCCCAAGTCACGCAGGCACAAGCCAGTCACACTCCGAGGGGGCGGTGGGCAAATGCGCCTATCGATAACGAGGCCACCCCTCCTTTTGGCTTCTGGCCTTTGGGATGGGGGGATCGAAGGAGGGGGAGGGGGGAGGGGGGAAGTGGGAGAGGTAGACACTTACTACTCATACGTACTTCTAGCCAAGGGATGTTAGTATCCAGGTACTAAGGTAGTATAGTTAAGTACCGTAGTGATTTACTCACTTCTTGTCAATACTGCTGCTGCTGCTGCTGCTGCTGAAGATGTCTCTGCTTCCAGACTCACTTATAACAGGAAAGATTCCCCCTGGACAGAATTGACTCATGCACACCGGAACACCAGAGATGCCTTACATTACCGATAGCGGAGCAAGAGGGGAAGGGGAAAGATGGATCAATGTATTCGTTGTCAACCCCAAGTGGGGACGAAGTGATGGAAATAGTATACAGACTGTCAACACTCAACCTAAAAAGAACACCCGTTCCTTGGTTCGACCTGCGGGCCTTCAGTCAAGTCAATTGAGTAAAACATCATAGATCAATGTGCACTGCAGTACGCAGTACTATACATTGTACAGAATGTACTGTACAGCACCATGATGTTCGATATGCAATGGCGCATTCTTGAGCCAAAGCAGCAGGAATCCACAACATCCACTGTCGACCTTTGTCCTACATAGTACGACCGACCCATCAACCAACCCCACGTGCCTCAGACACATCTTCTCAACACCACCACCACCACCGCCGCCGCCGCCGCAGCAGCAGCAGCAGCAGCAGTGGTTCAACTCAACATGAACCACCAGATTAAAACTGCAGGGCGTTTCATCATCCAACATCCTGCAATGCAACCATCAGGCAGCCAAAACTCAAGAACGACAAAATCTGCCCACCAATGCCCTAGGTATACATTATTCAGCGAGGAAAACTCGGGTTGCGTTGGAAAAAAAAAACCAAAAGGGAAGCAGTTCTTCACCGCATCGAAGGCGAAGAATAGGCCCGAGCCTATCATAACGCGTGGGCCACTCTGAGAACCCAACGGGCCTCCGCTTGACTTTGCTTTTTCGGTGTTAGTTGATGGTGTTGCCGTTAACTCTTCAGAAGTGGGTTTCGTCCGACTACTGTAGGTGTATCCCAAAAGTGTTTAGCATTGACAGCTGTTCTTGTCGATACCCGCTGGAGGTCCTTGATCAGGAAGTAGATTGTCTTGTGGAGGATATTTAATAAACAACCACCACTTTTGGCTGTAACATAGCTAAGTAAACTACTGAGTAAACTACCGGCTCTTCCGATATCCCGTCCAGCGTCGAAGTCAGATGCAAGCCCCCATCCATCCCTCCGTGCCACCACTCCAGTTGGCAACACCGCAGGGTGTCTGTGTCCCTCTTTTCTTCGTGTCCGGCGTCTACCTCAGAATGTCTCACCAGCGTTCTTCAGACGGTGATACAAGCACTGTGCGACTGCGGTTGAACTAGTCAATTGGCCTGCAGGGTAGAAAAAGAAAACAAGGAGCAGGAAGAGTCATGAGGAGCGTTTGGCCGAAAGCCAATACCCCCGTCTCTACCGCCGCAACCACCGCAAAACCATCATCCCATTGTTACTCCCTTAGGTTCAGCCTCATTGTAGCTTGTTACCTTGGAACCAGGAGCTTTCAGAGCTTTCCCCGCGCGTAGAGGGCTTGAAGGATTTCCACTGGATTGGATTGCAGCTCTTGGGTCAAGATCATGAGTAACTCGTCGGCTATACTGTACATCCATGCGTTCTCGTGCATAGGTCCAACGAGCGAACTGCCATACCATCAGCCATTGCACCGTGAAGAAGCATTAGTAGACTCAGCCCCCTGATAACACTCCCATAGCTCTTGCACTTCGAGAATTACTCTCGAAACGCGCAGCAGTACACCCTGCAAGATCCATCGGAGACCCTCCCAAGACCATGTAGACAAACCCTCAGAATGCAGCCTGCCTCAACAACCCCTCAAAGCTACGGTATGCCTGTTAAACAACTCTCACTTCCACCAAGTGCTACCAAAGAGCAAGTCTACACCCCAAGATAGATATTGGAAGTAAAGCCTACCTCCAGCCGCCAAGCCAGCAGTCCCAACCCACCGGAGTACTGCACATAGTATGAAGAAAGAAATTACCGCAACGCCATTTCCGCTGATCGACGGTACGGATCTCGCGGGCCAGAGCAAAAAGAAGATCCCAAGAGCATCATGCAGGACATATAGCTCAGGGTTTTCCGTCCATAGTCCTTTCGAGGAGAATTCTCTTCCACTGGGGGGTGCGTGCGAGCGTGCGTGCGGCTTCTGTAATGTCTCCTGGCAGCTGCAGCAGCGGGCCTAGACCAACCACCCAGTCCGATGAGTCACTGCCTTGTCTTGCGTGTTGCTGGCTACGACCTACCTACCTGGTACATGAGATCCGATTTGGTTGTGTTGTGTCCTGTACCTAGTACCTGATGTAGACTTTTCCAATTTGTTCATGCCCAACATCCATCTCAGCGCATCTGGATCGACCAGTGTGGGCTCCACGTGCTGGCGGGAGATCAGATCAAGGGGCGAGGAGAGATGCATGCTTGGTTTCGTAAAGGACATAAGAGCTGCTGCTGTGAGTCATGGCGGGAACAGCTATACGGAAAGTCGATCTACCGGAGTTTTCTTCTGTAAGGCTCGAGAGAAGAATCTCGTCATGACGTCCACGGTTAAATGTGATGAAGAGGATGTTCTGGAGATCCATTGCGTGGCCTTGGGGTATCAGGGCTTGACCGAAATAGCCCGAGATTGATTGAATGAAATGAGTTTAGGCGCAGCCGAGAGACAAACCTCACCCGAAATCATTCATTCTGTATGCTTTGGTTTTTCTTTGGTAGAATACAAATGTTAACTTACTCTCCCCGATTGAACTGAGGAAAACATAAGACATGACAGCTGCGGAATCGATACTAGAAGGCAACACAGAAGAGAGAAAAAGACAACTGGTTGTTTACAGAAAACCCCCGGATCCTCCGAGCCTGATAACCCATTACAAATCCCCTTAATAGAACAAGTTGCATTTCGTTGCTCCACAGAATGATCAAGGTAGGTTTCCAGTGCCATGGTGTGAAGACGCTCGTATCATGGACTCCTGGTCCCGACCCCTACTCGCGTTGCGCCTTGGGAAGTTTCGGAGGCTCGTCGCCATAGACCTCCCTATACTCGCGAAGGTAACGCTCCTTGTCTTCTCGGTAGGCCTGGTCGTAAGCCTGTCGTCTGGTGTTAGTGCTTTCCAACGCGGCCACGGCTACGATCTGATCTTGAACATTACCTTTCTCTCCTCCGGCGCTAGTGCCTTCCACTCGGCACTGATACGTGGGCTCCGCTCAGACATGGGAAGACTGGCGATGTGAGGATCTTGGAATCGAGTCTTGGTGAAGTGGGCATAAGGAGGTAGAGGGCGGGCAACGAGGCGAGGGTCATCGATCAGGTTAAGTCTCGATTGCCGCTTGCCGGTAAGTTTAGTAAGCTTGCGCCGGGCCTTGTTGGCGTCCCGGATCTGAGCAGGAGTGTAGGAATTGATCCAATCAGCCATGATTTTCTCGTTCAATTTCTTGTTCTCCTCCGCAATGCGTGCGTATTCCTGGTTTGAAGTCAAATCGTTAGCATCGATCTTCCACATATAGCAAGGAGCTTAGCAGTACCTCCGTCTGCTCGGCTCTCAGGCTCATAATGCGCTCTTGAATTTCGTTGATCATATATATGCCCTTCATATGCAAACCCTCCTTGGAGATCTGTTTCCCGGCTTCAGCGCGAGCCACAGCATAGACCGTTGTGGGATGCAGCTGAGGCGGAGTGAGACATAGGGCCTTGCATTCCTTGATCTGCTGCTTCTTCTCGCGCAGAGTCAGCTTCTCTTCCTCTTCGGGAGTCAGAGGCTTCTTCTCCTTCTTCGTGGCCTTCTTCGCGGCCTTCTTCGTGGCCTTCTTCGTGGCCTTCTTCGTGACCTTCGTCTTTCCCGTCTGCGCCTTCGGCTTCTTCACTTTGGCGGTCCCCTTGGACTCGGTTGCCTGCACCTTTCGGACCTTGGGGATCGATTTGGCCGCCTTGGGCTCTGAAGACTTGGCTTCAGCTGCAGTCGCGTATGTGTTCGTCAAGCTTCGGGACAGAACAGGGGCGCGTGCCGCAATTGGACCAACGAAACGACCACGGGACAACATCGAAAGACGTTGAGCATGAGCGTGAGAGATCATTTGACGGACGGGGCGTGAGAAAGCATCGCTGATGTTGAGATGCTGGAGGAACACGCCTCCCTGGCGAACGAGTTTCGCGGGCATGGTTGCGGCACTAACGCTAAAAGGGCCAACGTAAACATGGGAACATTGATCGGAGTGGAAGCTGGAGATAAAATTCGGATAGGAGACCGACAGAGGGAGAGATACCTACCAAGTGAGTCGCGTGGATCAGTTCTCCTTCTGTATGAAGGTGAATCTGGTTCTGTTTTCTCCTTCGCAGGGGTACAGACCGGAGCTCAGTGACGGAACCGGAAGAGGTTGGGAAGGTCAGGTCACGGGTGGAAACTGCAAGGCACGCGTAGCGTAGCTGCCCGCCCACCCATAAGATCCACTGCATACTCCGTACGGAGTACTTAGGTCATAATCCTATCGGGAAGAGCTGGGCTATCACACGTGACTAGTCAGTCGGTCGCCGCTCGATTACTATTAGTCACGTGACGACCGACCCTGCTCAACTGCGGCCCGTCCGAGTCTCCCAATTAATGCCGGGCCAAGAATACAACCCAACGGAGATACAACATCTACCTCAGCCTTCTCCGACTGAGACTTGCCACCCCGCGCCAACCATCGGCATACTAATCACCCGGTATAACTTGGAAAAGACCTGAATGGAAGGGTAAACATCCACTTCACTATCCTATCCAAATCCAAGTGCTCGAGCTTTCTTGAGTCTCAGTAATACTCACTCATCGTTGGCCTGCAACAATGGCTCGCCACGGGGATACTCGCTCACCATCACCTGTAGGCAGCACATACTCCTCATCCAGACGGAGTCGCAGAGACGATGATCGCTATGAGAGGAGCAGGCGCGACGATGGCAGGAGTTACCGCCGCTCACGCAGTCCAGAGGTAGGTCCTTGTGCCCCAGTTCGCCTTATTAAATTGGGACTTATGTCTAATCTGTTCACCGCCGACTTAGCGACGATATCGTGACCGTGAACGCGATCGCGACCGAGACTCCTACCGGAGGCGCGACCGCTCCGTAGACAGACGTGACGACTACCGCGATGAAGACAGTTATCGCCCCAGCCGTCGGGATCGCTCTCGCGATCGGCGCCGATCCAGAGACCGAGACGATCAGCGGGATTACCGCCGAAGAAGCCGCGATAGGGACTACCGAAGCAGGCGAGAAGATTCCCGGGATCGGGCACGGAGACGGACAGATGATTCTGCTGACTTGAAGCACAAGTCTAGACGGGACGACAGCCGGGATCGGGCCAGACGCTCGCGGTCCAGGTCTCGTGATGTAAGCTAGCCCGGTCCTTTACTATTTTATGAATCAAGGCTGACATGCTCATCGTAGGCATCGAAACCGTCGACTCCAGCAACACCCGCCGCCCAAACAGAAGACGATAAAAGGGCGGAACGGCGCGCGAAACTGGAGGCATGGAAACAGAAACAAGCCGCGGAAAAGGAGCGCAAACAGCGGGAAGCTGCGGCGGCTGGTGGAGCTAGAAGCATTCTAGAGGAGATCGATAGAAAGTCTGGTCTATCGCCGGCTGTCGGTTCGCCTCAATCTCCGGCAACGCCGGCTGTTGAAGCGGCACCCGCTACGTATGCAGGAAAGTTTGATCCGAAGGCTATCGCAAAGAAGGGAACATCCACATCTTCGCCCGCACCGGCTGTGTTGGGCAATGATGTTGCTGTTCCACTCCCGTCAAAGCCCTCCGCCACGACCTCTGGCAGTCCTGCTCCGGCCACGAGCAGCTCTTCATGTACGTTCCCGCCTCATATCTATGCGTATCAGTTCCAGACTAACTTGAGCGTTCTAGCCACCTTAAAGGCCAAGGGTAATGTAGGAAGATTTGGGCTAGGAACCAGGCAGGCTGGGGAGGCCGAGAAGTCCACTGCTACACGAACCTTGGGATTTGGCGAGGAGGAGTCAACGCGACGGAAGCTCGAGAGGCTACCCACCCCGCCTCTAGAGGATTCGAAAGATATCAACGGAACCACAGGTGGCGGGGCTGAAGAGGAGGACGAGGATGACGTCGACATGCATGAGGGGGGCACCGAGGAAGAGAATGCGGCAGCTGCGCGGGCAGCGGCCGAACGACGAGAGGAGCGTTTGCAATTGGCTCAATCCACGGACACCTCGCAGGAAGCTAATGGTGATACTGTCATGGAAGACGCAGCTGACAACCAGGCTCCCGACAGCATGGAAGTTGATGCTCAGGAAGAAGAGGAGGAAGTCGATCCATTAGATGCTTTCATGTCCGAACTAGCCGAGACTGCTCCTCCGAAGAGAACGGGTGGCGCGAAGTTCTCGCGCGCCAAGGAACAACAGCCCGAGGCCATTTTCGGTGATGAGCACGATGTCGACGTGACGGCTGTTGGCGAAGGAGATGCCGATGACTTCCTTGCGATTGCCAACAAGGCAAAGAAGAAGAAGGACATCCCCGCGGTTGATCACCACAAAGTAGAATACGAGCCGTTCCGGAGAAAGTTCTACACCGAACCCTCTGATCTGGCGCAGATGAGTGAGGAGGAAGCCGCAAGCCTGCGGCTGGAACTCGACGGCATCAAAGTTCGTGGTGTGGATGTTCCGAAGCCAGTGCAGAAGTGGTCTCAGTGTGGCTTAGGTGTGCAAACTTTGGATGTGATTGAAAAGCTTGGGTATGAGAAAACCACCTCCATCCAAGCGCAGGCCATTCCTGCGATCATGTCTGGCCGAGATGTCATCGGTGTGGCGAAGACAGGTTCGGGCAAAACGATTGCGTTCTTGATTCCCATGTTCCGGCACATCAGGGATCAACGGCCGTTGGAGAATATGGAGGGCCCTGTCGGTCTAATCATGACGCCTACCCGCGAGCTGGCAACACAGATCCACAAGGACTGCAAGCCATTCCTCAAAGCCCTCAACCTTCGGGCTGTCTGTGCGTATGGTGGAGCTCCCATCAAGGACCAGATTGCGGACCTCAAGCGTGGCGCTGAAATAATCGTCTGCACGCCCGGACGCATGATCGACCTTCTCGCAGCCAACGCTGGCCGAGTCACGAATTTGCGTAGGGTCACATACGTCGTTCTCGACGAGGCCGACCGTATGTTCGACATGGGATTCGAACCGCAAGTGATGAAGATCATGGCCAACATTCGACCTGATCGGCAAACTGTTCTGTTCTCCGCCACCTTCCCGCGGAACATGGAAGCGCTGGCTCGCAAGACTCTTACCAAACCGATCGAGATTGTGGTCGGCGGTAAGAGTGTGGTCGCACCCGAGATCACGCAGATTGTCGAGGTGCGCAACGACGACCAGAAGTTCGTACGCCTGCTGGAATTGCTTGGCAATCTGTACTCGAACGAAGAGAATGAGGATGCGCGGGCTCTCATCTTCGTCGATCGCCAAGAGGCCGCCGATACGCTCCTCCGCGAGCTCATGCGTAAGGGCTACCCATGCATGTCTATCCATGGCGGCAAGGACCAGATCGATCGTGACTCAACGATCGAAGATTTCAAGGCTGGTATCTTCCCGGTTCTGATTGCTACCTCGGTTGCGGCGCGCGGACTCGATGTCAAGCAGCTTAAGCTTGTCGTCAACTATGATGCGCCCAACCATCTCGAAGATTATGTTCACCGTGCTGGACGTACTGGACGGGCCGGGAACACCGGAACGGCTGTCACCTTCTTGACGGAGGACCAGGAACGGTACTCGGTCGACATCGCGAAAGCGCTCAAGCAGAGTGGACAGAAGATCCCGGAACCGGTGCAAAAGATGGTCGACTCATTCTTGGAGAAAGTCAAAGCCGGCAAAGAGAAGGCTAGCGCATCCGGGTTTGGTGGTAAGGGTCTGGAACGACTGGATCAGGAGCGTGATGCTGCGCGTCTGCGTGAACGACGCACATACAAGACCGGCGAAGAAGGGGAGGAGGAAGAGGAGAAGGACGAGAAGAAGAACGAACAAGCCGAAGACCGGTTCAGCAAGGCCATCTCATCCGTCCAGGCCACGGCGTCAGCATCGACCAGTATGCCGGGGGTTCCCAAGGGTATCGATCTTGATGGCAAGATCACGGTGCACAAGACCGAGAAGGATCCCAATAGCACGTCGAAGAACCCACTGGACAAGGTGGGCTCGGCTGTTGCGGACATCCACGCGCGTTTGAGCCGTGCGGGCGTGATGAGATCCGGAGTGCCCATCGACAACCGTGGGCCGGATGCAGGCGCTTTCCATGCCACCTTGGAAATCAACGACTTTCCCCGTAAGTTCATCCTCTATTTACTTCCCGCTACAAATACTGATCCTTGCTACAGAGAAAGCTCGCTGGGCTGTCACCAACCGCACGAACGTGGCGAAGATCCTGGAATCCACGGGCACGTCGATCACCACCAAGGGCAGCTTCTACGCGACAGGCAAAGAGCCTGGACCTGGCGAGAACCCCAAGCTATACATCCTGGTGGAGGGCGAGACCGAGCTGGCGGTCACGAACGCGATGCGCGAGTTGATGCGGTTGCTGAAGGAGGGCACGATCGCGGCGGCGGACAGCGACGCCCGGGCGCCGGTGGGTGGACGGTACAATGTCGTTTAGTGGCGAGGGTTCGGAGTTTGTATTATAGATACAGTGACCATGCTTCTTGTCTGCATTGTAGTAAAAGTAGCCTGCTAGGGTATTCACCATTGCGCCATTTTTATACGGAATCCCATATATCACCTCGCACATATCAAGAAACAAATCCAAACCAACACAGAAAGTACCAAGCGTATCCCAACTCCACAAGAAATGACAACCCACACCCTCACCATCCACCGACACCCAGTATGTACACCCCCAACCCTTACTACGTACTCAATCTCACTGCCACCGCCTCGCCTCAGCCGCCCCATCCGCATCCCGAGCCGCCACCTCCGCCCGACTCGCCTCATTCAACGTCTGCGCCTGGGTCTGCGTCTTCTGGGCCGCCAACTTCGACCCCAATTTGCCCTTGTTGGCCGAACTGCTCGCCGACTCGGCACGTCGCTATCCCCCGTCAGACATACATTAGCCGGTTCCCTTTCAATTCAAGCATCGCGGGGGATCTCGCGTGGAGCAGGGGGATATGGTAAGGGTAGTGGTAGTGGGGAGGGGGGAAAGGGAAGACTCACCTGCGCCGCCAACGCAGCGTTGGCCCTTGCGTCCGCGGTGCCCGGTGTCGATGGAGATGTCGCCGTCGCACCGCCGGACCCAGCCCCGACTGTCCTCCCTCCCTCCCCGGATCCCCAGTTTGTGTGAGAGGTGGATTTGGGGAGCGGTGCGCGGGGGCCGGAGGGGGCTGCGGTTGCGGTTGCGGTTGAGGCTGGGGCCGAGTCGGTGTTGGCGGCGCCGAGGACGCGACCTGGTCGGGCGAAGGCGTCGGGCGAGTTGGAGGATTTCGAGCAGATGTTGCCCATTTTTTTTTTGGTGTTGAGGTAGGTAAGAGGGGGAGGGGGAGGTAGGTGGAGAGGTAAGTGTAGGGGAAGCGGCTACGGGGTCCGAGGTGTCGTGCGGGGGTGAAATGGGTGGTGTGTTGTTCGCTTGCTTGCGTGTTTGCGGAGGGGGTGGAGGAAATTAGGTACGCTTCGAGCTGTGTTGGACGGTATGGGCTATAGGATTTGAAGTAGACCGGGGTAACTGCGGGGTGTTGCTGGATGGATGTGGCTGGTGTAGATAGAGTAATACGTGGGATGCAGGGTCCGTTCGATGGGGTCGGAATTGGAGATGCCTGGGATGCGGTGCAGGGCCCGATGCCCGTCGTCCGTCGCCCGTAGGCAGCCGCCGGCACGTGCGGGAGCCGCTAACGCAACGGTCGGAGACTCGGAAGGAGCCTTACTTGGGTTAACTAAGGGGGTGCCCGTGGTAAATTGCTGATGGCGCTGTCGTTGGTGGGATCTCTCTGTTGATAACAGTTGTATAGAAGGATACTGTAGTTAGTGGTTAGTGGTTGGTGGTTAGTGGGCTAGCTAAAGTTAGGCCTTGTCGAGGATGTTGGTCTCTTCAGCTAGAACGCTCCGGAATATCACTTCTCAGTGTGGCCGGTTGATTGAGTTAGAAAACAGTAACACGGTATACTGTGGTTATTGTTGTCGAGAGTTGCAATTGCTAAGTTATTGAGGATGTTGAACAAAACCTCAGGCATCCATCTCCAAGGCGGCAGAAATTCGGCGGGCAGAATCCGATCCCAGAGATTTCCCGCCCGGAGTCTGGACCGCCCTGCGAAGTCTCAGTGGATGGATGAATGGACATCCTTCGCAGACTCGGACAGATTACCTCTCCTGCTGCTTTCCATCATTTGAACGCAGGTGAATCAAACTATGAAATCATTCAAAATAAATCCGTCACATTTGAAAAGAACTTCAAATCGTCTAACGAAACACCAACTTACGAGAACTCTGACAATCACTGGGGGCACGATTGGCTAACCGGCCAGACATGACGCCATCTCCCAAGGTCCTCGTTGCTCGACCCCTCGTCCACAAGGTCCTCAATTTTTTCCCCTCCGATTAGATCTTCTTCCCTTGGTTCCTCCCGTATTGCGACCGTATCGGTACCGAAAATACCTGCCCTATTCGCCCTACTCCCCCTACTCCCCCTACTCCCTACACTTAACTCCTCCCCCGAAAGTTCCCTGAAGAATTGGTGGTACTCAGTACTCCGTACTCAGTACTCAGTACCCTTGAATATCCTGGACTCGATGGACTGCTAAATCCCACATCGGTTCCCTACATGCGCCCTCATGCTGGCCCCCAAGGTCCTCAGGCTCTTTTGCCCGCTCACTCCAGGCGGTCTGTCTTTTCTCTCCACGCCTCTTGGTGACTCTTGCCCATAGTCTCTGTCGCACTACAGGGTTTTAAGCTACCGCTGGACGATCCATTGCAGATTCTGCTGTTCTAATTGGTATGTGACCTGTCGTGTCCGCTCGCGTGGTGGAGGGGCGACGAGAACTGGGCTGACTTGCCACACCTGCAGTTGGCGACCGAACAAACCCAAATAGTCCTCAGAACAGACCATCAGTCTATTTCCCACAAGTCCCCGCTCCTATCGGTCGTCAGGGCGGAGGGTTCCGTAAGACCGTGACTTAATCGACTCCTTCTAAGGCATAGATCGCTCGTCTTCCTTGCACGGAGTTACCATCCATGACCTTCCCTTCACACGACACCATGGCCTCGCACACGAAGAAAGACGATTTCTGTCTGGAGTGCCACTGGGAGGCATTCCATCTGGATGCAAAAGACCCGGAGGAGCCTACCGGGGCGGAGGCTCCAGGGCCTCAGTGGAATTGTTCCGAGGAAGAGCACCAGACACTCCCCCACTGTGAGGTCGGGGAGGACTGCCCCGTCGACGAGGATTGCTGTGACATGGACAATTGCTCCGTCACCTGCCCGTCGGTCTGCGACGGGTTCGTCGACTGCGAGGAGGCCGCCGTGTGCTCTGTATCACATTGCGACGACGCTCACTGCAATGATACCCATTGCGACAGCACGGACCCGGTGTGCTTCGACGAGCACTGCTTCGGCAGTGGCACCCACGCCGACGGCGAGCACAGCCTCGAGGCGTTATTAGCTTTGGGCTCGCCGCTGAACCTCGAGTCAAGCGACCTCCTGTCGCCGACCGCACTGCCCCCGGTGCCGGGCGAGCAGCCCAAGAGCGTCGGGCTCCCTGGGGTTCCCGGGCTCGTGGGTTCCACAGATGCCTTCTTCGCTCCCTTCGCGCCTGTCCCGGTGTCACACTGTCACGCTCACAGCCACCAGCATTTCCAGTGCCACGATTTCTCCAAGGATGCGCACCACGCCTGGTATCCGATGCCCACCTCGGTCAACCCGGCGGATGTCTTCCACATGATGGGGGTGTGTCCGGACCTGACGGCCTGCCATCACCAGTATCATGTGCAGCAGGTGCCGGACTGCAGTGAGCATCCCAAGCCCGGGGACGATTCGACCTCGAATTCATTCACCTGCTTCCACATCAACCCGAACCCGAACCATTCCCACGGCCACAGTCACATCCCCCACTTCCACACCCACCATGCGCCCGAGACGGCCGAGATGACCGACCCAAACACCACGCAAGAACCGCCTATTCCCAATCCCACGACGCACCGCAAACCGTGCCGGACGCACGTTCACCGGTGCCGGACGCACAGCCACGCGCACCACCATTACTCCCCCTACTCCCCGTACTCCCGCCAGTCGCGGTCCAGCGTGAGCTCGCAGCTGAGTCCGGGGGACACGCCGCCCCCGCTGGACGGAGGCTCGTCGTCCGTGCTGACCAGCCCGGAGTACATCCCGGAGGAGGCCCACGTGTGTCGATGGACGACGACGGTGGACGGGGTCAAGAAGCCGTGCGGCGCCACCTTCTCGGACTCGTGCGGTCTGCAGGAGCATCTCATCGGCAGCCACATGGCCACCGTGGAGGGGGCCAAGGGGACGGGGTATTACTGTTGCTGGGAGGGGTGCCATCGGCCAGACGAGCCATTTTCGCAGAAGTCGAAGCTGCAGGGGCACTTTCTGACGCACAGCAACTGTACGTTTGACCGTGTCTGCATAACCCATTGCTGACTTTGCCGACTTTGCTGACTTGGGGTAGACAAAAACTTCAAGTGTTCGGTCTGCGGCAAGTTCTTTGCGCGGCAGGCGACGCTGGAACGGCACGAGCGCAGCCACCGCGGGGAGAAGCCGTACAAATGCGCCGAGTGCGGCAAGTCGTTTACCGACAGCAGCGAACTGAGTATGTCGTCGGATGCCTGTTCGCCGATGGATGACTAACTTGGGTGCATAGAAACGCATTCGCGGACTCATACGGGCGAGAAGCCGTTCAAGTGCACGTATCCGGGGTGTAACTTCCAGACGGGCGATGTAAGCACACCTTGGTTGATTGATTGATAAGGAGATAGAAACTGACGGAGTGCAGTCGTCCAACATGTCCAGTCACCGCTTGAGTAGGTCCCCACCTTTTTCTGGAAGCGAAGAAATATACTGACGGGTCCAGCACACGGGGAACGACGACATAAATGCCATTACCCGGGGTGTACGAAGAGCTTCACTCGACATGGTGGGTGGTCGATGCAGATGCTTGGGCTTGATTGAGAGACTGACGGGCGATAGATCAATTGAAACGACACCTCAAAAGCACCCACAAGGACAGCGGCGGCAGCAACAGCAGCAGCAGCATGACGATGCCCTCGCCCTCGCCACTGACCGATCAATTCGGCCTGACGCTGGCCGAGGTGGCGTGACCTACTTCTTCGGAAACAATTCCCAAATTTTACAGAATATTGATACGATACCCCACAGTATATACATTGAAGGTTGAACTTCTGAACGGTCTGGATGTATTCTAGAATGGATATAGGAATAATCCCCAGTACCCCAGTACCCCATAACAACCAACCCATAGCATCATAGTAACCTTTTCTGGTATATTTATTCCTCCCCCGCCCTCTCCTCCAACCCCTCAACCGCCCCCTTCAACTCCCGCACCCGCTGCCCGACCCTCCGCCGCACCTCCTGCCGCACCCCATCCTCAATTCCCTGCGGATTCAACCCGGTGTCGATCCGCACCTCCTCCTCCCCGCCCGCCGCGCCCAGCAGCTTCTCCACCCCGGACCGCCCCGCCGCGTCCAGCAGCGACACGTCCCGCGTGTACAGCGTGTACACCGCCAGCAGCTCGTTCAGCGCGTCGCGCGCCGCCTCCCGGTCCGAGGCCGCGTAGATCGTCGCCGCGTCCGTGCTTTCGGTGGCGATTTCGAATTCGTCTTTGGCTGTCTCGTAGCTTCGCTTATTAGTTGGGTTTGGGTGGGG